CCAGGAATTGTGTACAGATCCTTGCAACATGGGGCCGTGCATTATCATGCTGCAACATGAGGTGATGGTCGTGGATGAATGGCACAACAATGGGCCTCAGGATCTCGTCACGGTATCTCTGTGCATTCAAAATGCCATCAATAAAATGCACCTGTGTTCGTTGTCCATAACATACGCCTGCCCATACCATAACCCCACCGCCACCATGGGCCACTCGATCCACAACGTTGACATCAGCAAACCGCTCACCCACACGACGCCATACACGCTGTCTGCCATCTGCCCTGTACAGTGAAAACCGGGATTCATCCGTGAAGAGAACACCTCTCCAAAGTGCCAGACGCCATCGAATGTGAGCATTTGCCCACTCAAGTCGGTTACGACGACGAACTGCAGTCAGGTCGAGACCCCGATTAGGATGACGAGCATGCAGATGAGCTTCCCTGAGACGGTTTCTGACAGTTTGTGCAGAAATTCTTTGGTTATGCAAACCGATTGTTGCAGTAGCTGTCCGGGTGGCTGGTCTCAGACGATCTTGGAGGTGAAGATGCTGGATGTGGAGGTCCTGGGCTGGTGTGGTTACACGTGGTCTGCGGTTGTGAGGCCGGTTGGATGTACTGCCAAATTCTCTGAAACGCCTTTGGAGACGGCTTATGGTAGAGAAATTAACATTCTATTCACGGGCAACAGCTCTGGTGGACATTCCTGCAGTCAGTATGCCAATTGCACGCTCCCTCAAAACTTGCATGTCTGTGGCATTGTGCTGTGTGATAAAACTGCACATTTTAGAGTGGCCTTTTATTGTGGCCAGTCTAAGGCACACCTGTGCAATAATCATTCTGTCTAATCAGCATCTTGATATGCCTCACCTGTGAGGTGGATGGATTATCTTGGCAAAGGAGAAGTGCTCACTAACACAGATTTAGACAGATTTGTGAACAACATTTGAGAGAAATAGGCCTTTTGTGTACATAGAAAAAATCTTAGATCTTTGAGTTCAGCTCATGAAAAATGGGGGCAAAAACAAAAGTGTTGCGTTTATAATTTTGTTCAGTGTAAATCAGAAGGTGTACATAGGACAGCAAAAACATTAAAGTTACATTATTAAAAAAATATCAATGGCACACAATCTCATCTCAACACATTTAATAAACAGCTGAATGTGAAATTTAGTCATTCTAATTAGTTTTGAGGTTAATTTTGATGTTGTATTTTGTTTCTTTGGAACAAATTCTGTTGCATATCAAAGGCTGTTTTGTGTCTATTTGTTAAATGAGGGAAAAGCTAAATTTGCTTATTGTAATTTATGGCATTATTATTCAGTAATTCAATGAGTTAGATGTAGAATTCAAATATCTTTGATATGTATTAAAACCTATAGGCTAAATTAGTGAAATCATTCAATTTGAATTTATAGTGTTGCTATTATGGCATATCTTCAGTTGATTTAGTATTTTACATTAACCCTAAAAAGGGCAAAACCATAAAGAGACATCAGAAAATTAATTTATTGCTATTTTCCATCTTATTGGGTCTAAAATAATACAATTTCATGATTTTTTTTCAAAACTTGACTCTTATTTTTTTATTTTAATATTTGTATCCCCTAGGATACGTCGCCCCTTTGGGGGTATAAATTCACTGAAAACAGAACACTTGTTTATCAAAGCTTGTTACAACATAGTTGTAATTCCTGAACACTTTGGAATGCAGACCTTTTCAGCAATAATAAGCAGATTATTGCTGAAGTGAAAGCATTTAAAAAAAAGAAAGTATAAAAAAGTTATAAAAGTTTAAGATTACAGCAAAGATAATGTAGTATACTATTTTATTTTATATAAAATAAATATTTTATAAAATATGTTGCACCCTAAAATTGCTATAAAATCAAAGCCACATGTCTAACCAAGTTATGTTACAAATTTGAAGTTGATATCATAAAAATAGTGGTTCCTGTGAGATTTTGTTTGGGCACTATACCAAAAAGAACTTTATTTAACTCTATTGAATTTTTTTAAGCAGTTTTCTGTCACCAATCAATCATTTTCTGTCACAATATCACTTCTATTACCAAATATGGAACCTTGACTGTCAGACCTTTCCAACCATATATGTTTTGTCAAGAGTCTTAGGGCCCTATCATACACCCGGCGCAATATGGCGCAAGTGTTTTTGCTAGTTTCAGCCCGATGCAGTTATCATTGTCACGTCCTGCACCATGTTGTTTAAATAGCAAATGCATTTGCGCCCATTTCTGCGCTCATGGGTGTGCTGGTCTGAAAACGAGGCGTGCTCAGGCGCTTTGGTGGCACGTTGCTATTTTGAGGCAAATGAAATAGACTGCACCATTGACCAACTAAAACCTGGTCTGAAGTCAATGGTTGTTATTTAAAGAGCGCGCTAGTAATATGCGCCTATAGTGTCCACAACACGCGTACACTCTGCTTATTACACACACAGGGATGCCAAATATTAAAAATTAAAGGAATACAATGTAAAAGATTATTATTGTGTAGGCTACATAAATATAAAAATGCTTACATGTCATAATGGATAGTCATTGCATGTATCAGAATTAGGCTACATTTGCTTGTGCACAAGCAGCTCCGTTTCCTCTCTGGAGATGCATTCAGTCTTTGCGCTTGCAAATTCCATCGTGTAAATTGCGAATTCACCATGGCGCAAACGCAACAGGCTCTTAAAGGTAATGGGAGATGAGACTCTGATTTGTTTATTGCACGTTATGCCCAAAACACACCCATTACTCATTAATAGAATAGGGACAACCCGGGCGCGCCGACTGTTTTTCCTGTCATTAAATTAGAAAAAGTGGATTTGGACACGCCCTAAGTGCACCTGCGCCTTGCGCTTTAGACCATGCACTTAGATCGTTAAAATAGGGCCCTATATATGTGTTTTTATGTCTTGATTTATACCCCTAAAAGGGTGACGTATCCCCTGAGAAACAAACATTTAGAGACAGATTACAAAAAATTTAAGCATTTAATTCATAAAATTTGCGTATATTAAAATAGATGCGTAGATTAACACTGTCTTTCTTTCACTATCTCTTCTCTTCAAAGTGCAGTAAAGAAAGATCTGAGAATCTGTCCTGTGCCACTGAAGATCGGAGCCAGATTCTCCTCATAACTGAGAAACTTTCTGATGTTGCCGAACCAATGTGCAGCGTAAGTGCAAACTACAGTAGTCTGAATAAGTTTGTATATTTGTCCTTCCGTAGCCTACTTCATCTTTAAGTTTCTCAAGAGTAATCGGCGATGCGATCGCACATTTCACAAGATCCACTTCAGCTGTCACAAGCTGAGGGTGAAGCTTAAGGCTTGCGTACATGCTTAAACTGAATACTGCATCACACGCAACACTCAAGGCCATCGCTTCAAATCGCCTGTCCAATTCAGCCAGAAATGACTCAGTCCACCACATTTGTATTAGCGGGTTTATAAAAAAAACAACGAATATTTGTTAACTTGCTAAAGCGGGGAAAATAACGAAAAGAGAGTCCTCTCATGTCCTCTCAAGTTGAGAATCATTCGCGACTCACGAGGATATGGGGCTTAAATAATTAATTTAGCCCAAAACTTACTTATTCTAACCACTAAAATAATACGATAATACAAATAAAATGAGAAAATGTGAATTCTTTCATTTTTATATTTGGTTACACTTTATTTCGATAGTCCACTTTAGACATTCTACTAACTATAAGTAACTTTGTAACTACATGTCAACTACATGTCAACTAATTCTCATTAATTTGCAACTACATGTCTACTAACTCTCAGAGTAGACTTGGTAGGTTTAGGGTTTGTAGAATGTTGACAAAGAAAGTGTTAGAAGATATTAAGCAGACAGTCTACTAATACTCTACTAACTGCTAGTTGACATGTAGTTGCAAAGTTACTTACTGTTAATAGAATGTCTAAAGTGGACTATCGAAATAAAGTGTTACCATATATTTTATTCATAGCTCAGATAAAAATCATTATTGACCCCCCCCCCCAACCCCCGTCAACTCCG